AATATATTTATACATGAAGTTGCTTTTGGAAACTTCCATTTTTATGAGTGGTACCCTTAGGAGAATGGGCATATTCTGCAGTGAATGTGCTGTTTGTGCAGCACCCAGCATGTGCTGGCTTCTCATAGGGGGGTAAAAGAAGGACAATACCTGCTTTTGAGAGGTCTTAAAAAATACAGAAACACACATGAAAAGAAAAGGGACATAAACATCCCCATGGGATTGGAGGTAGGGGCAATTGCTGGGAAGAGTCATATGAGATCAAGGGCCAAGGCAAAACCTCAGCACAGGAGGGGGGATTTAGGAGAGCAGGGAGGAAGATAGGCAGTAAATGCTGTAGCTTTTTAACTCCTCAGATAGCAACTGTGCTTTCAGCAAGACATAAATTGATCCCAACCTTGTGGTGACTTTACAAATAAAAGATGATTTTTTAATTAATTGTGCAGGGAACAAGAGAGAAATGAAAGCTTCTTTACTGTAATGATGATTTGCGTTTGGGAGTGCTCTCCTGCAGCATAAACAAATGGCAGGCAGAGTGCTGTGGTGCTCTGGCAGTGCTTCTGGAATTGGATTAGGCCCCCTCCTCCACCCTGTATTGCAGAACAGTTGCTCCTAATTGTGCATCATATTTGATTACTGACTGCTGCTTCTGATCACGGTCCATCTTTTCCCTTTACCTGCTTTTCATCTTTTGCTTTGCTCCTCTGTAATTGCATCAGACTTGCCTCAAGGTCCCAAATTATTTTCTATCAGCTTAGGGTTGCAACAGTTTGTCTGGAGGATTTGGGCAGCTCCACTTGTCCTAGCACAACTCATCTCTTGCCTTAAACTCTGACTTAGTGAGATCTGACACTGACCAACAGCAGGAGCATTTCCTGCAGGTGCTGGTGGTCTGAGCTCTACCTCAAACCAGCACGGCCTGTGTGTGATGCCACTCTTCACATAGCTCAGTGGGGCCCCATAGCAGCCAACTCTGAGATGTAGTTTGGAATACAGCAACACTGGAAATTTCAGAAACGGAAACTGAACACCAAGCTTGTATTGCTGCTATCGATTACTTTGCTTTCATTTATAAATAATGCTTGGTTGCTGAGGTTGCCAGTAAGGAGATCTAAGACTGCCTGAGGTGATATCTTATTTCTTTAGAAAGAGTTGGTTCAATATATTATACACTCTGAGTGGTGTCACTGCAGAAAGAAGTAATACAGCCTGAAAGCAAGATTCACTCACATGGAAAAAATGGGGTTCTCATTCCATATCAGGAGGAAACAGATCCTCCTTTTTTTGTGGGTGAAAATAGAGACACCTATCTCCAAAGCAGCCAATAACAAAGAGGCTGAAGGAGTTTACTGAACTTTTGGACTCTGGGTCCAAAGTCACTTTCACTAAATCAAGAAAGCAAACTCATATATCCTGACAAGGATTGATACAGGAGCTGGTGCTTGGCACAAGTACATATTTGATGTAAAAACATACAGGACACCTGCATCTCCGTATGCACATCCACACACATGCGCAGCGAGCTTGGGCTAGAGGAAGGAAATTAAGCACAGGAGTTTGCAAGTGTAGCTAGGAACAAAAAGTCTCCAAGCAGCTGATTTGCCTATTGAAATGCAGGATAGTTTTGATACCTTTGAAATTGAAGCCCCTTTAAGTGAGATTTCTGCCACTTTCTCACTTTCCCAAATGGACACTGGATGCATTGAACTCATATTTTTACAGTCTTTATGCTCTGACTAATTTTAAGGTTCTTTTGTTTTTCAAGTTATTGTTAGCATATATGCAGATAACACATAGCATAACAGTTAACATATGTGTTCATACAACACCAGAGTCATTAGGTTCAGTCTCATGTGATAACTGTGCCTGCACTGCAGGGATATTCTGGCATTTGCTCATGAGGAAGAGCATTGCCTAGGAAGGCCCTTCTTGATCTGTGTTTTACTCAATGAATGAATGGAGGTTTCTGAAATCAAGCAATTCCTCTCTGGAGGAGTTTATCCTTGTTTTATTCAAGCTGAGACTTATGCCATTGTTCTGCCTATCAATCCTCTGTAATAACATTTGAACCCATCAGCCAACTTAATGCCTTTGGCAGAAGGACAGACCTCCAGGACAATCTAGCTGGAGGAGAGGGCAACCATACAGTGAAGGGACAGGGAGTGGAAGGGTTTCCAAGAGAGACAAACCACCCTGGAATTTATACAGTAGAGATGAATGTAGGAAACAGTTTGTGCTGACTCTGCTCATCGTGTAGCAGTTTGTCTTGTGTTAGCTTCAAAAACACAGATGGGCTGTTCACACTGACAAGAATATGTCTACGTGGAGATGAACTGCCTCTCTGTCTTTCAGCTTCCAGTAAATTCACAAATATATAAGGCGTGTTGGTCTAGCTCTGTCCAGTTAGACTTTATTACAGCTATGGGATCAGAATTGTACTCCTTTTGCAAAAGACTTTAATAGACAGTGTTCAGGAGGCACCACTGTCTCTCTTCCCTTCAGAAGTCAATTGCTGAGTGCTTAGAGAGAACCCCTTACAGAAAAGGGATGTCCAGTAAACAGTGAAAAAAGCAAGTCAGTTTTCTTCCTTTCTTGCCATGGATTTGCTTCTCTAAAGGGGACAGCCTTTCTTCTCCACACAGCCCATATGCCAGAGGTATATTACATAGAAGTTACGGTGTACCAGCTTGTTTCCAAACCTCAAAGCAAATCTGCTGATTTGTTCACAATACCTCATCAGTATCCTGGAAAAAAGTGCACTGAAGGAAATTATGGAGGACTGCAGCCACAGGGAGGAGAGGCCAAGTGATGGAAACATCAGAACCCACTGAAGTGGCATGCAGCAGCCGCTAATACCTCTCCATGTATGCTTGCAAGGTCATGCTGCTTGCAAGGAGACTCCTACCAGCAGGAAACAAGGCCTGACACTTCCTTATTATGAAAGGACATCTGATAGCCCAGATCGCTCTACCAGACAATCTATCATTCATTTATTGGGTTCTAATGAAATTGGATAGTTGTTTGCCCCTCCTGGATGTATCCTGCCTTCTGCTCTGTAAGTGACTGATGAGCATCCTAAATATTGTGGTGGACAGCTACACTAATTTTAAAAGGGGAAGATATTTGTGAAGATGAATACTGCACACTCCTCTCCATGTCCAGAAAGATGGAACTGGGAGAGATGCAAAGATACGTCGGCATACAGGATGATCAAAAGTACTGCATGGTCTCTGCACTGGTACTGCTAGATCAAGGAGGGCCCTTCTGTTTGAAAGGGAGATGAAAAGAGTTGGAAAGAGGGTTGCAGGACCACCAGGAGATCCATGGTTTCCCACAAGCCCTGGAAGCAGGGATGCTCTGGGACCTCCACGAGAGAGGGGCTCGTGTCTGGCTGGGACAGCAGTCTCAGGACACAGAGCAGCTCAACAAGTGGTTAGTAAATTAAGGGTCCCCACAGGACTCAGCCCCTGAGATGAAATAAAACCCACATCATAGCTTCTTTTTGTGCTGTTCTGCAAGCCCTGTGTAAAAAAATAATAAAGTCACTTAATGTAAAGCATGTGTGCTGGGAAGAGCGTACCCACCTCCAGCCTCCCAGTCCTTCTTCTGGGGCCTTATGCATGCATGATTGTCTTTGGCTCATTTGCCACTCCACGTGTCCCCTGATGACACCTTATATTCTCTCCTCATGTTGCTTCTCAAACAGTCAGATTTACATTATTCAAGGATGTCATTGGTTTTGTGAGGTAGAAGACCAGCCTGAGAGCCAAGAGACTCAATTTTAATACAACATGTGACTTGAAGGCAGCTGGTACATCTAGAAATAAGATCAGATGCCCTTCCAGAAGCATCCCACAGCCAGCAGCAGGCTCTGAACAAGAGGGACAAAGCTGGAGAAAGGCAAATAGTAGTAGAAAAAGGCACCAGTATCTTCACAACAACTGGAAAAGCAAAGCAAAGTGCAAAGGAAGTAGAAGGTAAAATGCAGGATGGAAAGAAAGAGAGCAGCAGACATAGAAGAAGACTTTCTAATTGTAAAGTATCTTGTTGCCTGTCATAGATATTACATCTCTTATTGTGTTTGTTTCCCTCTGGCTCTGTGGTGCATCATTCCACTAATTCTTTTTTTAGATGAGCACTGTTACACGAGACACTTCCCAAATGATATATTATTACCAAACTGCTTTTCAAGTGTGAAGTCAGACTTGGCTTGAAATGGGAGTGCAGAGAGAAGTACAAAGGAAGGAGGAAAAACACAAAATGTTAAAATTAGGTTTTAAGAAGGGTATCATCTGCATATATACCAGTAATTTTGAGCAGTCAGATCCCATAAGCATGGGGGAGTAAGGCCCCCATACTGTTATTCTTCTCATGAAAACATATGACACTGTTGAAATCAGTAATCTACATTTCCTACTCACTTTTCTTCAAACAGAAAAAGTATTTAGTACAGCCTTTGAGAAGCTATCATCCCATCTTTAACATCTGATTCACTACCATGTTATGGCTTGAGGTCTTCATCTCAGACTTGTATCTGCAGGATATTTTTGTTCACCCTAGGTATGTCCTGGAATTTAAGTACAACTACCCATGTAAACGGAAAAGCCTGTAAAAATATACTATCTGCTCAGTGCCACTCACTGAGCAAATAAATAAACACAATTTCATTGAAAGCCCTGAAACTATAATTCTAAATTTAAAAGACAAAATTAGGATTTATTTTAATGGACAACTGAAAATCTATCCAGGGAGGAAAATAAAAACAGTAGATAAAATCTATTTCTGGACACACATTTTAAAGCTGGGAAAGCCTGTCCAGAATTGTCAATCAATCCAAAATATGTTTTTGGCAAGAAAAAAAAGAAAAAAAAAAACGTTACGGTCCCTCGGTGCTGCCGCCTAAGCAGAGGCCGGGGCCGGGCGGGGGCCGGGCGCGGTGCCGAGCCGGCTGTGCGCTGCGCGCTGCTGCCTCCCGCCGTGCCGCCGGGGTCCTGCAGCGGGCAGGGAGCAGGCCGCGCCCGGGCCCAGCGTGGTCCTGCGGGATCTCCAGCCCTGCCGAGCTCTGGTTTTGTGTGGAAAGTAAATAAATAAATAGAAATAAAAGGCAGAGTTTACTTCGGGAGAATCTCTCCCTGCTGCGTGCCTCCTCAGGGTCGCACACACACACAGCCAGCCTGGGGAAAGGCGTAAGGTGATGCTGCAGGTCTGTGGAGGGAGAGCGAGGTGCAAAGCGTGCATTCATGTGTATTCATACAGGTGTATTCATGACTCCATACAAATCGTTTTGAGGCCAAAGAAGATGTCAACATGGACGTCACATGGCTCTGGATGCCCACAGCTCACCCTAACCACTGTAAGCCACCACCGATCTCAGGACCTTAAGGAGTAAGGGAAGGACAGTGATAGGACAAGAGGGATTGGCCTCACATTGCGCAGGGAGGTTCAGGTTGAATATTAGGGAAAATATCTTCTCCGAAGAAGTGGTCAAGTGCTGGACTGGGCTCCACCACCCAGGGAGATGGTGGAGTCACCATCCCTGGAGGTATTCAAGAAACATTTAGATGTGGGCCTGAGGGACGTGGTTTAGTGGGGAAACAGTAGTTGTAGGTGGATTTTTGGACTAGATCGTCTTAGAGGTCTTTTCCAGCCTTAACGATTCTATGATTCTGTAATGCTGGGAGAAGTTTAAAAAGCGTATGTGCAGCTTTAGCTACACCATTATCCTTTCTTTTTGTAACTGATTTGAAACAATAGTGATTATACTCCCAAGATACCAATTATACCAAATGTAAGTCCTTTGCTTTACTTGACATGAACAAGACTTTGTGCATAACAGAGGCAGGGAGCAGCTTTGCGGGGGCATTGGCTGGGTAATGTGGCTTGTTTCCTTACAACACCACATGAACACCATAGGCTGTGACAATCTGTGCAGATGGAAAAATCCCTTTGGCAAAAGTTGATGAGGCCAGAACTGCTGGAGATGTTTTGTGGGATGCTTAGTGTTCCCAAGGACCTCATAACTCTTCCCATCAACCAAAAGACACTGCAAGCAGTAGTATGCCACCCCACAATGCCAAGCTTTAGCACTCACTCACTGTCCATCTGAAAGGAGCATCACTGAGTTTTGGTATTTATTTTTGCACTCAGTTTAGCACTAGTTTCCTTTAGTTGCTCAGGGGCAGAATGGAAGTGAAGGGAGATGGCAGGGCTCATGATGGGGCCATGTTAGCAGCCCTGAGACAAAGAGCAGGGCAGAAAAGCAGAGGCCAGCCAAGGTCCTCTGGAAATCCACAGTAAGTGGTAGGTCAGCCCTGAAGAGAGGCTGCTTTGCACTTTCCACAGCCCTCGTCATGCTGCTATCACAAACCCGCACTTTCACCTAAACCTCCTTGCTCCTTGTCTTGAGGCTAGAAACATCAGCACAGTTCAGCTCAAAGATATTTTCACTGTTTGCTTGCTCTGAGATTTGATGCCTTTATTCTCAAATGTAGAATTGTTGTCCTCAAATCTTAAAAATGCCAACACGCTCTGTCTTGTCAACTTGCAAAATTGCCTGTGGCGATGGTGTTGGAGCTTGATGATCTGTGAGGTCACTTCCAACCCAAGCCATTCTATGATTCTATGAAAATATGGGAGAAAAGTAAATAAGAGGAATATAAAATTCTCTTTACTTTCTCCACTAGAAAGGCACAGAAAGCCTGATCGACTCTTGACCATTTAATATGGAAAACAGCCATTAATCAAAGAGAATGACACAAAGCTCATTTCTGCCAGTAGATACAAACCCCAAACACCAGCTCTCCCATCACCCCTGAAGCAACCTCCACACACAGAAGGTGGAAGCCAAGCAAATGCCTTTGCCCAGGACCCACCACCAGGACAGATTTCCCTCCTTGCCTGCCCTGTTCACTTATGAGTGAACAATGTTTAATGTTTTACTAACATTGACACTGAGCTCCCATCCGGTACCATGCAGCAGCTCCAGCAGCTCATTGCAGTAAGCAGTGAGCATACAGCAGGGTGAGCTACCGCTGTGTGAGGCGTGCCGTCATCCATTTCTATCTCAGAAGGATAGCATTTCAGGCTAGAGCAAAACTTACAGGCATGGTGCTCCAGAAAGAGGCTAAATTAAATTTAAAGCTCATTACTCAAGCTTACAAACTATACTAATCCCCTTTGCAGGTACGCATTCAGCTACTTCTGGTCACAACAGCACAGTTCTCCTGAACATGCTCTCCATTACTCTTCTGGAGAACGTGGGCCTCCCTGAGCGCAGGCTTTGCCTTGCACACAGTGAGGTCAGCAGAAGCAGGAAAATGCACACAGCACCCCCACCTGCCCTGAGCAGGGCAACCAGAAGCAATCTTAAAAACTGCAAAACTGGTGCTAACGCTGCTGCCTGCTGGAAGGGGAAGCAGGGCCGTGGTCTCCAGTTCTGTGCCATCCTCCTGTGTGACCCTGCCGCTTGGCTGTCCTTCAGCTGAACAGCCAGCCCAAGGTCAGAGATGCAAACATTAAATACCAGCAGGGGAAAGCAAACATTGGGCCCCGTTCATGAAGCTCTGAGTACATGAAGTACCTTGCTGCTCTCTGAATGCAGTGTATGTGCATGCCCACATGCCCATGGCCTTGCAACCAAAGGCCAAAAGGCTGCAGGATGTGGGCAGAATAAAGAGACCAGAGCTGGCTGCAGGGCCAGCACTGGATGAGGAAAATGGGTATGGATTGAATCCTAATGGACTACAACAAGCAGGTACTTAGACCAACAAGCCTCTCATGGAGACACAGAGAGGTGTCCGCTTGTTGGTGACAAATGTCCTGACAAATGGTCCCAGCAGTGACTGGAAGCTCTTCAACAGAGCCTTTGGAATAGTCATATCTCCATCCTATCTTAATAAACCTCATCAGACAGGCAGTGCATATCCCCATTCACATGCACAAATTTTCTATGAGGTTTCCTTACATGTCACAGCTTCACACTGATCTATGCCACACAGCTGTGATAGCTCTGAATTCAGCTCTGTGGGCACCGGTGCTTCCCAACCCTGGCTTTTGGTGTTCTTTTACCTCCACCTGCAGATGTCAGTGCCCTCTGCTCACAATATTCCATATCCAGCTTTTCATCCATTAAATACGGCTGCACAATTTGGTGGGCAAATTAATGTATCATTTAATTAATTAAGGTAAGGTCCTGTATCAGCTCACTGGAGGCAGATTTCACACATTGCCTGGAAAAACCCTCCAAGGAAAAATCTGTCTTTACAAATCTTTCCATTCCAAAATTTCCCCTCAGCCTTTCACAGGAAGCACCAAATTCTGAGTCAGTTTGGCTGAAGAGAGGTGGAAAATCTCCAGGTTCCCACTGGGATATTTCTGAACTCAGGCAAGAGAAAAGGCATGACCTTGGCTGGGCCTCCCTTGTCGCGGCCTTGGCTGCATCTTGGCAAGAGGACAGGGGATGAAGGTGACGTGGCTCTGCTTGGTCAGGAGCATCCATGACACGTAGCAACAGCCCCACTGAAGATCTTACAGATATTTTGCCTGCTTTTTCTGACATTTTCACTGACGATTCCAAATACTGAAGAGAGAAGCCATGTTAATTTAACCACCTGCTCTCATAGGACTTTGATGCTTTGTTTTTCCTACTCCTGATTGCGTGTGTAAACACATTTGTAATCTATTGTTCTTAATATATTTATGTATTTAATTTATTTGTGTTAGAATTATGTTCTTGGCTCATTATAAAATAAGGATATAATTAACTTGCGGTAATTTTATTTATGCTCTTATATTAATGTGGTTAATGTGTTTATGTAATTTGTATTTCTGGAGCTTCCAGTCAGGGCAGATTTCCATCTGTAATATTTTTCCCCTTTATTCTTGCCTTTTATTGTAGATACTGCTTTTTGTAGATACTTTTGCAAATTTTCATTTGCAGTTTTCAAGGCCCGAGGCCCTTTCCTGCTATTCACATTTCTCAGCCTCTGTCATGCTGTGCACTGCACCTGTGCTCCTTGGATCCTGGGGTTCCCTATGCAGCAACAGGTATAGACAAATGAGATATAATATGAGAGAACGTGACTACGTGACCACATGAAATCCTTGGCCTGGGGCTCATGAAGTGTACTACCAGCTTCCCACACAGCATAACACGAACTCCTGAATGCAGGCAGGCTTGGCTTCGCCATCTTTCTGTTCATCCTCCTCTTTCCATGGGGCATACAAACTGGCAGAATGTCTGTAAATCTTAATTTTGTTTCACTTAGCCTGGTTCCTATTTTATCATCTGAAAACAGGTAAAATCACCCCAAATCGGTGGCTGCTACAATAAAACATCAAGCTGCCTGACCTGAGGCAGAAAAGCAATATAAATCTGTATTTCTTCTCAGAAATTCAGCATTATTTAGCTGGCAGAAACCCCTGCCATGTCACAGGGCTCAACTACAGCTGTCTCAATGTCCAGATAACCAAAAGCCTGCCAGTTAATCTTGTCAGATGTTCAGATGTTCCCATTTTGCCACCATAACACAGACTGTGAAGCAGATGAATGGCAGGGCATGCCAGTGTTTAAAAAAGGGGATGAAATCCCATCTCTCTGTGCAGAGTTTTATAGGTTGCAGTGGGAGTATTGCAATCAGTATTTGCAGGTTAACTGGAAAGAAAGAAGGAAAGAAAGAGGAAGAGAGGAAGGGAGGAAGGGAAAAAACCTAAAGAAAAACCAGAGAGAAAACGTTCTCCTTCTCTTTATCTGTTTTGATAACCACTATCACACTGAGCATATCACAAGCCCTAAGGCACTCTGCAAAGTGCGTAATCCTGTCAATCTCTTTGGGGCAGTTTACCTGGGAAGGGCATTTGATTGGAGTTGACTTTCCTTTGCCAGCCTCAGCACTGAGTGTTATCAGCACTACCTATAAAGCACTGCATCTGCTGCGGGTCAGTAATCAGTGTAGGGGCTTTTGTTGGTATAGGCAGTGATCTCCTTGACCTTCAGTGGAGGGGAAAGTATAAAAACCAAAGCAGTTTGCTTGGGCAACTCTTTGAGCCCCCGTTGAATTTCTTCATTTCCGAGGAAGAAGCTTTTTGGGGGAATTTTGTGGCAAAATGGCAACTTTAAATGAAAAGAAGACCTGCAGTGAACGGATGGAAAATTTCCGCCGTTTTGTCTGGAATCCAGAAACGAAGCTGTTTATGGGAAGGACCTTGATTAACTGGGGTATGTTTCTGTGCACAAGGGTCTCCTTTCTGACGCCCTTAGAAATCTTGAAGGGATGGGGGTTGCTCTGATGAATGGGAGGTAATGGGAGGATGGAATTTTTTATAACCTCAATTCTCAGATGTGCTCCTGATCCTCTTACAATAGCCCTCCTCTCTGAATAGAGTCAATTAGGTCGAAACATTGATCCAAGTATCTCCTGCAAATAAAAGCATTTCTGGCCCAAATATTTGATAAGGACAACACCGGACATATAGAATCATAGAATGGTCTGGGTTGGAAGGAACCTTTAAGATCATCCAGTTCCAACTCCCCTGCTATAGACAAGGACAGTGTTATAGGCAATAGAGATGTTAACATCTAAGCTAAGGGTTATGGCTATAACATGATGCTGACATTGCTGTCTGTTAGGGCTTCTGCTGCAGGGGAATTTGGCCTTGCTGCTGTGGTGGCATTTTTCAGCCCTGCGGATGCCAGGCTGATGGGGCCAAGCAATGGCAGCACTGTGATGCAGACCTGCACTGATGATCTCTACTTTAGAGCCAGTTGGGGAAGTGTGGGAAAATATTTTCTGTCCAGTCCTCTGGAACAACGTTTTGCTTTTCTGAATTTCCTTTTTAAATTACTGCATGTTGAATAAATCTTTTTTACCGTTGAACTAATGCCTGTTTCAGCTGGAGCTCCCTGCTTGTAGCCAAGCTTGTGTCTGCCACAACAATGTGTTTGATGATCTGATTATCTGTGTTCTGGGAACTGCAGCTCGAAACATTTTAGAGAGAGTCTCTGCACTTCCTGCAAGTCGTTAACTGTAGCTGCAAGCTTCCAAAAGGTTTTCTTCTGATGGGAAACGTGTAACTGTAGCCTATTAGCCATTCCTATGAACAAAAAGCAAACCTAATCTTTCCTGATTGTGTATACATTCTGCACATATGCACCAAAACCAGTGTTATTCTGAACCTCACCCCATAACGAAACAGCAAGATGGTGCATTTTGCTGGAGGTGAGATATGGGTCTAAAACAAGCATACCCAGAACACTGAGCTCCATGGCACAAGCAATACAAGCAGCAGCTTGCTTTTGTCAATGAAATCTATTGGGTCTTTTGCTCAGCCCGTGTGTAACAAGCAGCTGAATGGCCTTAATGTGGGAAGCTGCTCTGTGAAGCCACACAATCCTTCAAGCTTTAAACAACCTAAGTGCCAGCAACGCCCAGGCTTGTTCCCTTCTTGCTGACATGATGCCATTGGCTGCAGTGTTCACGCAGCACGAACCCAAAGACCCTTCCCCTCCTCTTCCCCCAGTGTGGATCAGCCTGTACTACCTGGCCTTCTACGTGGTGATGTCCGGGATCTTTGCCCTCTCCATATACTCCCTAATGAGGACGGTGAATCCCTACGAGCCAGATTACCAAGACCAGCTCAAGTCCCCAGGTACAGCTACTACCTTAAACCATCCCTTTCAATCTCAGCCTGAGAGCAGTTAACAAATGTTAAATATTTGAATGAGCCGTGCCAGCGGCTCGTTAAATAAAGGTATAAAATAAGGCAAAGAGACATGGAATGAGGAATCAAGGTTGGTGGGACATGATGTGAGGATGGAGAGGGACAAGACATAATTAGCAGGAGATCACCAGAGCCTATCTCTAGAACTTCAGCCGCCAAGCCACTAATTATAATTTTTTCAAAGACATTGCCTTGATTGATTGATTGATTGATTGCATGCCTGCTGTATTTTGAAGCTTTCTTTCTCAGTATTCTCTTAGTTTGATGTTTGCTGACAGTATCATTTCTCTGTAATATTAAGCACAGCGTTTTCAAGAGCTGTTTCTCACCTGGCAGGACACCCCATTTCCTTATTGTAAATGCTGTGTTTAACAAGTCCTGGGGAAATCCACTGTGATTACTGGGATTATTTTGTGATCTGCTCTGATAACAGCACCTCTCTCCTGCTTTGCCTTCCCCTCTCCTCCCTCTTGAAGGTGTAACGTTACGACCAGACGTGTATGGACACAGAGGGCTACAAATCTACTACAACGCATCTGACAACAAGACCTGGGAGGGGCTGGTGACAATGCTCCAGACGTTTCTGACAGGTAAAAAAGACAATAAGGTCACCTGCAATATTGGAGAAATGTGCTGTCACCTCTCCCCCCTTACTACAGCTGAGAACCTTCAGGTTTTACATTTTCTGTTTGTCCTTCTGAAATCAGAGATTTTGAGTGGGGAATATATTTTTCTGAAAAGCAGGAGCAAATTACTTTGTGAATCTATAAACCAAACATATGTAAATGTGTATATTAAAAGCAGAGCCCAGCTTCATGGCTTTTTTTTTTTTTTTTTTTTTTTTGGTAGCTTTAATAAAATAGGCTATCAGAGAGTAAAGAAATGGGAAGATCTACAGAACTACCATATAAATTAATCTAATCACATCTGTGACTACAAATATCAAAGTGCCATAGCAAGTCCTGTGGAGCCAGCACATACTGTCATCAAAGAGCACAGCTGAAATAGGCTGGGTGCTCCATTTATGTTCATACTTCAATACATTTATTTTCCTTGTAAGCCTTATTTTCACATTTCTGTTTCTCATACATGCATTGAGAAAAATCGTATTTGAAACTGCCCTTTTCTGGAGATGGCAACACAAATTGCCAGCCTTAACTCAATTTTTTTTTTTTTTCCCTCTGGATATTCTTAAAAAAAAATAAGAATTAAGCTTTTCTTGTTCCACCTAATCCCAGTTTCACTTGAAGTACAATCTCCCATCATAGCATATACAACCTGATATTAAGTCAGAGAACCATTTGAGTTGGAAGGGACCCTTAAAGGCCATCCATCCTACTCCTCTGCAGTGAACAGGGACATGTACAGCTGGATCAGCATGCCCAGGGCCCCATCCAGCCTGACCTCGAGTGTCTCCAGGAATGGGGAATCCACCACCTCTCCATGCAACCTGTGCCTATGCCTCACAGCCCTTACTGTAAAATACTTCTTCCTTATATCCAGTCTGAATCTCCCAGATGTATAACTTCTCTGAGAGGCTTCAAAGAGGACTTTTCTTTTTTCTTTCACAAACCCAGAATATAGCCCAGCTGCTCAGCATCTGAACATCAACTGCACAAGCAACACATACTTCATCCAGAACACCTTTGATGGTCCAAATAACACAAAACTGTCCTGCAAGTTCACATCAGATATGCTTCAAAACTGCTCTGGCATCATAGATCCTACTTTTGGATTTCCAGAAGGAAAACCTTGCTTTATTGTAAAGATGAACAGGGTAAGTGCAATGTCAGGCTGCAGAGCAGCGAGGAATTAGTCGGGAAACACTGGGTCTCATGATTCTCAGCTGGGGAGCTCAACTCTGCTTTGCAACGTGCAGACAGTTCACTCCGCTTTTCCTAAGAGTGACTAGAGAAGCAGTGGGACTTTGTCACCATCCCTTGGAGAGTAACATGAGCAGAATCTCTGAAGGTTTGGGGCACTTTTGTTAGCATCTCTGTAGTGCTGCTGTCTGAAAAACTAGTATGTAAAAGCTTCTCTTCTGTGGTACTGAGACCTTTCTGTTAAAGCGTTAAGATAGGGCTCTAGCTAAAGGGACTTCAGAGATGTGCTGTTTGCACATTCCCGTTCTCCAGCCTGCAAAGAACATCTTTGAATGAACAAACATTTCAGGTAAAATGCTGGGCATTATAGTTTAATTTCAGTACAAAATGAAGAGTTTGTATTCGTCAGTTCCTGACAAACTCCCTTCATTTTCAGTTTGGCTCGCGCCCTAGGCTTGGGCATTAAATATTTTTGGGAACCCAAAAACGAGATCCAACTGTGAGGGCAGAACCATGCACCTGATGTTTGCAGGCAAAATTAGAGGTGTTTCCTGAGGAAGTTCTTTGTTTTCCCCAGCAAGGCTGTGTGCAGGGTAGGAAGAAAAGCAGTTAACAGGGCCCTGAGGACTTCAGTTCCATCTGCCTGTGCTGCTGCAGGAAGTTACCCTACTACCTTACGGGACCAGATGGGTCCTAGAGCTTCAGCCAAAGCAGAGGCTTCTTAGTAGGACATTCACAGTGCTGCTTTCTGAGCACCTCCCAGGCAAAATCCCCCCCGCTACCTTAGTGAGGAGGTCTGACTGACGGGGCCTTATGCAGGAACACATTCAGCAGCATCTGAAGCTCAGTTCATCCTTTGCTCCCTTTTTGTCTCAAAACCATCACCAAGATGACTAAATGCATGCTTTCTATTTCAGATTATCAAATTTTATCCTGGCAACGGCACCGCACCGAGAGTGGACTGCACCTACGTAGTAAGTGTGTGAGAGCTGCACTAAAAGGCTTTGAGCACCACAGCTCTGACAGCCAAGTGGCCTAAGAAGCAAAAACCAACCAAACAAAAAAGCATTTGCAATTTGTTTTGCTCTCCCAGTAGTGAGGTTTATGAATCAGAGTAACTCTTCAAAGCTTTCTGCAACTTTCAGCAGATCTGTTTTTCTTGGCAACAATAGCAGCAGGAGATTTCCACTTTTATTTGAGGATTGGCTCTGAACAGATCACTGTACTTGAGCAACAGCAAGGAAATATTTGCAGGGAGGCAGCCAACAAATCTCTCTTACATTACCAACAGGGTGACGAGTCCCGCCCACTGGAGGTAGAATACTACCCGGTGAATGGCACCTTCAACCTGCACTACTTCCCCTACTATGGAAAGAAGGCACAGGTGGGTGCCCACAAATTTCAGTTTTAATTTTCTTCATCTTCTTCAGATAGTGATGGGAGAAGGCGGATTGGCTTTAAGATAAAACAGAAGAAATTTAGGTTAGATGTTAGGCAGGAATTCATTACTCAGAGAGTGGTGAGGCGCTGGCACAGCTGCCCAGAGAAGCTGTGGTGCCCCATCCCTGCAGCTGCTCAAGGTCAGGTTGGATGGGGCCCTGGGCAGCCTGAGCTGGTGGGGGGCAGCCCTGCTCACAGCAGGGGGTTGGGGCTGGGTGGGCTGTGAGGTCCCTTCCAACCAACTAAACTGTTCTGATTCTATGGTGACAATCTTTGTGGAAAATGAAATGACGGCAACTTTCCTGTGATTTTATGTGAACTGGAAAAAAGGTCTATTTTAAGATTTTGAAACTGGCAATGGTAAGATAAAGAATTTTTTTTGTTTGTTTCCTCCTAGCCCACTTACAGTAATCCTTTGGTAGCAGTGAAATTTCTCAACATTACAAAGAATGTAGAAGTCAAGATAGTGTGCAAAATCATTGGAGCCGGGATTACCTTTGATAACATTCATGATCCCTATGAAGGCAAAGTGGAATTTAAATTGAAAATAGAGGACTGAGCAGCGAGAGACACTTCTGAAAAGCATATATGAAGAATGACTTACCTGTTGTCACACTGACTGATATTTATTTTCTCTGATTGCCATATGAATGTACTCAAATTACAGTGAGAGTAGACATTTTCTACCGAGAGGTAATCCATCTAACTAAAGACCAGTACATCGCTCAGCGTGCAAAGGAGATGGGAATAATCCCCAATGTACACAGCCTAGTGTTCTGTGGCTACACTGTGCTTAAACCTCTATGCAAATCCTTGTACAAAACATGTGTCTTCTAACCTAAGCAGGTGTGCTTTCCAAGAAAAGGAAGTATGGGATCAAAATATTGTTTTTCATCATTTTTCAAACTCTAAGAACAATCTAATAAATAATTGATGTATAATACTGAATACTGGATATTGTAGAAGCAACAGCTAGAAAAATAAGTAGCTTGAAATACTCTGAGAAATACCCTTCTCAATCTGCCTTGTACAGGATATTTAAATTGTAAAGAGACAGCAAAATTACCTGCATGCCAATGCGTTGTTTTGTGTATCAGCCAGCCAAGTCTGACTTCAGATGACAAATCAGTAACTGCAAGAGAAGAACTTTAAAGGGGCCTATAGCTTTTCTAATGCCTAGCACCTGTGATTTCTTTCTAACAATAAAAACCCTTTTTTGGTTGGTTGGTTGGTTGGTTGTGGGGGTTTTTGTGTTTTGTTCCTCCTCCCAAAAAAGAACTGCCATATAAAGCAATGAGTTGTGGGTTACCTGGAATAATCTGGAAGAATGAAAACGTTAAGCTAAAACATTAAATGAATCTAAACTTTGAGAGGTCCAGCCCTCCCATAAACATGCTGTCTATGTATAGTATGTTCATCTTAGATGAACTGGCCTCACTTAACAATGTTTCAACCTATTCCAAGTCTCTAATTCCTTTTATATGTGTATATATATACATACATACATGCACACAAGTACACATACACACATATAAAAAATACAGGTACATTCAGTCATGTTAGAGGTAATTGGTTCACCAACCAGTACAAATGAAAAAAGCCTGACGGACTTCACGAACCTTTCTTTAACCAAGACACTGAAGCAGTGCATTTCACAACTAATACAATATAAGAAAAACAGATTCCTGAGTTTAACTGGATGCAGACTACTGAGACACTAGAAAGAAAAGGCAGCTGGGCCATGTCCTCAGAGCAGAGGGATGGGCCATCCTTTTTCCTATCAGCTGTGCAACAGAGACACCAGTCAGAGAAAAAGGCAGATAGTAACATGGCATGAAACTAGTGTTAACCAACTGCATTATTTTATCTATATACAATTTTTTTAAAATATCCATTAACTTTCAATTCCCAGACTTTTCTCTTAAGGTGTTAAATCTCATACTGAAGGTCAATGTAGAGCAGACAAACACAGAAGTAACTTTGAACCATTAAGGTTGGAAAAGACGTCTCAGATCACAGAATCACAGAAACACCAAGGTTGGAAAAGACCTATCAGATCATCCAGTTCAACCATCCACCTATCACCAATAGTTCTCACTTAACCATATCCCTCAACACAACGTCCGAACGTTCCTTGAACACCTCCAGGAACTGCACCACCTCCCTGGGCAGCCTGTGCCACTGCCTCACCACTCCTTCTAAGATATTTTTCCTAATAGCCAACCAGAATCTCCTCTGAAGATGAGATGCATCTTCCTACAGCATCCATTTACAAACATTTGTATAACTAATCCAGTAGTTGAAGCATTAAGTCTAATACTAAAAGTCACACCCATATATTAACAGGGAAGAAAAATATCAATACAAGCTCTTCAATGCTTAAGGGAGGCTCTTTGCTATGACTATCAGCAAATTCAAAACATTTGCCCTCCAGCTTTCACAGCTGCTAAGTACTGTGTATAAAGTCTTTGCTTAATGGTCTCACACAAGGACCACAGTGTCACTGCAATTACCCTCGGGAATTCCACCTCATCATTTTATGCAACTGTTTCTCACCTCTTTCCAGTAATAAAGGACTGATACTGACCAACTTGCAGCAAATAAAGGTGTCTGTGTGCTACTCGCAGTAATTGGATGGAGAATAATCAGAATTTGCATGCCTGCAAAAACATCACATGCTTTGCACACACAGCCCCTTCATAAGCTTCACCTCTTTCAGACACAAAACATTCAATCACAAACAAGATTATGTTGTTTACTAGAAGATAAAAAATAAGTATGGAAGAATACATATATTTTTTTCTCCTCAATTTAAACATTTGAACAACTATGGACAAAATTCACTTTTCACCTCTTCCAATTTCTTTTTTTGATATCAGAGTGGTAACAGCTGATGATTTCTGAGTTTATTTTTGCCTATGAAGGCCTAAGGCCTTGTTAAAGCAAGCACTGCTGAGACACCACATGCAGAAATTGGGCTCCTACATCTCTCACCTGCTCTAAAATGAGAAAGAACTGAATTCTGAAGACGCTTAGGGGTAACGTGCTTCATCAGTGTGCTCATGTGTCAGTCCTACTGTTGCCCAAATGAGCATTTTATCATTCCAATTTCATCACGTGTCAGAGGGTTTTTACCACCTTTACCAATTAGATAGCTGATTTCAAGCAGTCTGATTTTGAATTCGTCCCTAATTCTTGTGTTGCTTTTCTCTTATATTGATTAGCTCCTTACAACGATGTCATTTTGTGTGATCTGATCTGACAGAAATCCAGACACGTCTCGTGTTTCTTTCCCATAAACCAAAAGAGTTCCTTAAATCTCATACTAGAAGACTCTGACCTTTGATTTCAAGTAATGAGGGTAGGATCTTTTCATAGTCTTTTCCATCTGTTCCAGCAATCTTTTTAAACAGCGAGGCCAACAAGGACACAGTTCCTCAATGCTGGTCCTGCTGTATGTATCCAGATGTAAAATCACCTTACAATTAACGATTAGTTCTACGCACACATCCAAATATCAGATTAGCTAATTCCTTAAAACACTGCGTAGGAGACCTATATGCAGTTCCCATCTACCATGGCACCAGATGATTCTGTGGATCCCACATTTTCAGCACACAATCTTATCTTCTATACTGTTACCTTGAATTTTTGTTCAAAACATGTGGTTTGCACAAAGCACTTTGGCCACGACCTTGCTTGCCAAGCAATCTGCATTTATCTGTCCTTTCATTCTTTTCTAATCGTATCATTTATTTTTAAAAATAGACTTCTTTTCACATTACTGAAGAAAACCTTGAGCAGTAGCTCAACATTACTTGATGCAACTAGTCAGCCAGTGATAACGCCACAAAAACCTTCCTTTGATTCAGCAGTAGGCACTTTTTAACCCCTTAACACACAGCGTATCGATATGCTAAAGCACCTACTTAAAATCAGAACACAACAAAACTGGAGGTGCTTAATGATATTGAAATATATCCATTGTTTCCTTCCTAAAATCAGCTGCACTATCATACCACATTCATTTGGTAAGACCTATTCTGTAGTTTGTCAATTTTATAGTTAATCTTCCAACCCTTTGATTAACTGAATCCTTCAACCCTTTTTCTAACATGATGTTCACTGCTCATCTCAGGCCCTCTAGACCATATTCACAGAGGTTGTATTCACATCACTTTTGAAAAATGGAATTCTGGAATTCTTTCATTCTTCAGGCACTTACTCGCAATCTCAAGATTTATTAAAGATCAGCATCAGAAATATAGAGATTTACTCCACCTAGAATAAATAACTGAGGTTGCAGTTCTTTTTAAGAGTTAAGCCTTAGGTATTTGCTTACATGTTCTGCTTTGTTTTTTGTGAACTCTCTAACGTTCCCATGACAAAAGAACACAACCTTTGCCAAAGATTCCATCTTTGCTATCTTTCAACATGCTACAAAGCAAAAATTGTACCTTCTGTTCTGTCAGGACTGGTATGATTGCAATATTTACAGTGATGTATCACAATGCATCCACAGTGAATGTACAAAGAAAATCAAATCCTTGAGCCTAGGTTTGGATTTAGCCTGGTTGAAACATCCAAACACAAAACCAACAGGTGTTAGCAGAACACAGAAAAGCACTGGTGATTTTCAGCTAACACCAATCTCTCTTCTTTATTCTCTACCACATCAGAGCATTCTGCTTTTATAACCACAAAGACGTTAATCAACAATCTCAATTTTCTCTGGTTCATGTTTTGCTTATTGGTCTTGGCATACTTTGTATGTCTCTCTGGAGACAGCAGCTCTCTTAATTTTTGCTGAGAGGCAGATGTGGACAGATGAGCAGCACCATAACATCAGATGAGGACTACTGTGGTAACGGCTGCAAGCAGAAAATGCCTGTGTGCATCCATTACCCTACATCTTGCTCTCAGCATCACCTGCATTTCTGCTTAGAAACCCCATCCTAAGGAAGGCAGCCTCCTCCCTGCTCAGCTAACCATCTTGTTTCTTCAGAGGAGCCTAACAACATCTGAGAGCTTCTGAATATCAGCTGAACTTCTATTCTTTTTCTGCTGAGTCCTCAGGATGCAGGCAAGCCAGATGATCTGTTTGTGAGACTGCTTAGGAGACTGATGCATGGTATTTTGTAACTTCCTTTCCTTAAGGAACTGTATGATAACTCGGGCTGGCAGGCACCTCAGATGACCCCTAATTCAATTCCTGCTTAATGCAGGGTCAGCTGTGAGGGTTCAAGCATGTGGAGGAGCCCTTACCACACAGCAGTTATCTTGCCTTTGCAGTAGGTAACAAACCCTGACTTCGGGCAGTGTCCTGCAGGGAGACTGAGCCATTTCAGTAACCAGTGCTTCCAGGTCAGGGCAGAGAGTGTGATGTATCAAAAAGGTTTGAGGTGGAAGCGCACAGAAGGCATTAGGAAGACCTGTTCTGAGGATGTGGGAATGTATGACAGAAAACGAGGACTGGAGAACATGGGATGAAAAGTTCGGACAATAAATGTGGGATTTTGAACAGAAGAGCCGGACTAGAGTGCAAAGACTGGCCTGGCAAGCTGAAGAGCAACAGGACTGAAACAAGGAGACATGAAAGAAGAGAGAACACAGTGTATGATATTGCTCTTTGCGTTGTATGATATCAAGACTTACGAGGAGAAATGAAATTAAAACAAAAAAATCTGAACCCTCTGCAGTGCAGATGTGGTATTCTGAGAGAGTCAGTTCTAGGTCTTGTGTTGAGGAGGAGTGACATGTTCTAGAATAACCCTAAAATTAGAAAAACCACAGAGCTTGTTAAAAATGCCCATGCGCGTTTTATTAATAAAAACTAACAGTGCCAAGGTTAAACAAGTCAAACAATTATAGTCTCTTTATATTCCATAAAATATTACAGAAAAGTTTATTTGTGTTTCAATAAAAAGACTACTGTCTTAGAATAGGCAGCTGACAGTATTTGTGCAGTTAATTGTTTGTGAATAAATTTAAAAAGACTACCACCTGCCCTGAAATTCCTTTTATAAAAATGAACTATTAAAAATGATTGACAAATTTTGAGTTAAAAAACTTAAAACATTCTCTATATTTAATTTCAACTTTATAATAGATTACAGGAAGATGCTTATGAAACAAATACAAACATTTGTTTCAGTACATGTCTTTATATGATAGACTTATAAGTATGTAAACAACTATATAATAAAAAGTTTCCAAAGTCTGCCTGTAAGAAATCAGGCAAATTTTACCATAAGCAATAAATCATTCCAAACCTTCAAGACATTTTATATAGCTGCACCAGCTGGCAGTAAACATTTGCCAAAAAGTTTGTAATTCTTATGTCCCGACATACAGTGACAAGTATATAAACTTGATGGAATCATAATGTTAGATATAATTTAAGGGAAAAGTAGTTCACAACAACATTTCTGCAATTTAACATGTAAAAAAGTAGGACGTATCTTTCCTGTTTGGTTCTTTGGACACTGCATGGTTAACAAAAAACACACTACTACATTAGCTCACTATCCCTCGAAAAGTGGTATAATCAAAATACACTCCAAATAAATTGCCATTCAGTGTATTCATTTTCCACAGAAGGACAGCATTTTATTTCTCAATGATGTGTCTACATTTTCTTTAGCAAACTTAGCAAGAACATTTGGGGGCAAAATCCATTTTCCTTCAAGTAAAAAAAAAAACAAAAACAAAACCAAATAAAACAATAAACCAAAAACCCCTAAACCAAGAGTAAATAAAGGCTCTGCATTAACACACTGGTATCAAAAACACACATCCACACCACATTTAAAAATATCCTACATAAAACAATCCTCGCTTGCTTATCAGAGGTGCATTTCTAAACTCAGAACTGCTTACCAACATTTTCCTTGAGGGATGGGGCAAAGTTATTTGAGACTTCTCTCCCTAGAACAATTTATTCCTGAAGCTTGCTGAATTTTAACAAGTCTACAAGCAAAGGGCATCAGTCGTCGTCATCGTTTTCATTAAAATCATCGTCGTCGTCGTCGTCATCCCCCACGTAAGAAACTGGTGTTTCAACTCTGGAGCCACTGTACTGAGATCCATTGGAACTCGTAGCCAACATCCCATCTCCACCATTGGAAAAGTCACTAAAACAAGAAAAGTCCAGTTGACAGTGTTTAATGATACTTCCCAGATTACTGGTGCTTATTATCATGCGTCTTCTCCATCGCTTTAATGCCACTGCTACACTGTAAATTAACAAATTTTGAAATGGTTCTTACTGTGTTTCTTCCACAGGGTTGATGATGAAATCCTTTCAGAAGTGCTTTCATAAATATGCTTTCTAGATTTCATTTGAAGTAGGTATACTTAATGCCCAACAGCTATCTAAGGCCCCAAATACTTTTTAGCACCTGACACGAGGCACCCCAAGTGAATCTGATGTCTTCCAAAAGCACTCATCTTGATTCAAAGAATTTGGAAAATGAAGAATTCATAGCTTCTCTTGGTTATTTTATGGTCAGCTACCATAGCTACATAGTATATTTTCAACTGGAAATTTCTTTTTCCTAGATGAATTATCTGTATCCAGAAGTATTCTGTTTCAATAGTCAGAACATTCCTCATTACTTGCTATTTTTCTGAAGTTTGCTACTGTTAACTTTATCTAGTTCTACATTCTTAGTTGTAAATTCCTGAAAAAACATTTTTCTAAAAATCATAGAAATAACATCTCCAACTTGACAAATATTCATCTTTAAATTTGTTTTCAAAAATACATTTGCTTGTCCACTTTTAAACTTTTAATCCACTTTACATGCATTATCAATCACACACAATCTTGTTGCATGGAGCCAACTCTAAGGCTTGGAAGTCCATCATTCCATGAAGTGAAGCTACTTTCAATAACATTAGTTATATTTCTACTCTTTAATCTTTAATTAATTCTTTAATTGAAGAAAATGCTGTGCTTTGTTTTGGCTTTCCCTTTCGTTTAACCTAGAAATGGTGTTCAACTAGCTAACTGCACATTTCCAAGGTTTCAAAGTTAACTGTAGTAGACCAAGTAAATTCCTTGGATAGAGTCTGCATCTGAAGTTGTACAGGGAAGAAAGAATGGATGGGGTGGAGGGGGATGGGTAGGATGGGTGGAAAGGAAATGGAGCACACCCTAGAAGCTTGCAAAGAAAATATATCCAATATGACACTTTTGAGTCGTACATTCTATACATTTTTTCAAAAGGAAGATATCAAGATATACGTCTAGCTATAATTATTTAGAAAGAGGTTCTCCACAATTAACTGTAGAGACAATTTCAAAAATAAAGAAAAAAGGAGATTTTCCCTGTTTTCAAAGTTTGGAAACAAAAATCAATCTCCCACATAACTAAAAGAACTTAAGTTAGGATAAAAACAAGTGGATTTCATAACTTAATCATCTTAGTGACAGAGACTGGGATGAAGGCACTGGAATCAACATCTTCAAGCTTAGGATAGCTTTCTCAGGAGAGCTGAGTGAATAAATATATAGCCTTTATTTGCATTGACAGCAATTTTTGGCATCAGATATGCTACTGCCAGTTGCTTACTGCCATGAACACGTAAGTATGTACAATAATTAAACAATAATTAATCCTACCCTTTTCCAACCTCCAAAGAAATGTTAAGTGCTAAGAGTTCTCGTGTTTCTCACTATGGCAATGAACTACAATCAGCCTCTTAACACTCTAAAGTTGTTCTGGTTTTCTTTGGAAAACAGAATGCTTTAAAAGACTAATGCAATCACACTTTCAAAGTAAGCTTTATCTTTAGGAAGGACTTCCTTCCAACTCTAAGGGAAGGCAGACTGGTGAGGAAAAGCCACCAGAAAAGCATCTTCAGGAAAAAGAAAGAAGAATAAAATGCTATTTCCTTGTCTAAAGATATCCCATCAGTACAGGAGTTTTTCTACTAACACAGATGACTTAAAAAATAGCCAAAAAACTAGGACTTCCTTAAGAATTTAAATAATATAGCTATTTCCCAAATAACTAACGAGGCACTGTTACGAAAAGAGCCTATGTAATGTGTAATTTGTCCTCACCTCATTTTACATTGCCCAGACTGGATTAGTTGCATGACAGTAAGACAAATGCAACTGACCTTTTATATAAAGCTAACTTCCCGTACAGCATCGGGCAAACATATGTCAGATAATGAACACATACACAGGTAATTTGCTCAGCTAATTGACTCGCTTCATTCAAGTGTTTTTAACAGCATTAAACATTTCAATAACATTTGAGTCATTTAACAACTCAAAGTTCACACAAGAGAAATGTTTTGATCAATGCAATGACAAAAAAACTTGTCAGTAGTTACTACATAAGGAAAAAGTGCCTTGTATGGCAAGAGAATAAAATATCAGTTAAGCTCTGAAATGGCATAGATCTGTACAAAGCTGCATAAAAGACGTGACTTGTTCTACCAGTGTATGATGTGGTTTAAAGTTCAAAGACAAAAATCTGTTTTGTGCTAGATACCAATAACCAAGTGAGAACTGTGCCCTGATTAGGTCTTAGAATTATCTGTTTTCTTGTCACAAACTCAAATCTAAATAAAATTAACACCTGCCTACTCTATTTATTTTCCAATAATTTTTAAAAAGTTTCTTTGTTGACATTATTAAGAAACACCAATAGTCAAATTAAAGTGATATCCAGGGATAAACTCAAGCACACTCCACACAACACTTAATCAAACCATAAACAGTTTCAAAAAATATTTCAGTTGAAGCTAATTTTTCTTCATGCTCACAGATTTTAAACATTTATCAGTAATTCCATCTCACCTGGCTGAAAATCTTGTGCCATTTGATGCAGAACCTGACGAAGATGTGACATATACACTGCTGATTGATCCCTGAGCCATTTCTGTAAAAACAAACATACACATCTCAACACTTCAAAACACATTAATCTAATTCAGTAAAAATGCTTTATTCTTTTTGGAGTCCAGAGAATGAGTCTTGCAGCCAATACAACGAAACATATTGATGCCCTACACCCAACATTTCTTAATTAACAACCTAGTGACTGCAACATTTCAAAATGAACATGATTTTGAAGTGAACAAGCCCAATGACTTCACTATTCCCATATACGGAAAATGAATAAATAAAATGAAGCCATGACCAAGTTCACACTTACTACCTTTTCCCTTTGCAGATGAATCAACTACAAGTAATGTCCTCAAAAAAACCTCACCAAATTACATACTGAAAAGACTGCATGGAGCAATGCAAAAAGTGGTGCTGTAAACAGCACAGTCCATTCACTAAGAATGTTATTTATTCCTCAAAGTATATTAAAAAGCACAAACATCTGACAACTTATAAATCTACAGCACAAACCAGTGGAAATTAGCTGAGACATTTTCATGAGTTCATAAAAAAAAAAAAAAAAGGAAAGGAAACCAAAAAAGAAAGAAAACAAATAGTTGTTCTTACACTAACTAACCTGTCACATATGGTTCCAAAGCTTTGGGAACCAAACTCCTTGCAATTTTTAGGTCCTCTGCTGAACAGCTTCCAGATTCTAGCCCACAGGCCATTCCCATTCGTTTTAGTACTTCTATATCATCATGAATTTCAAAAGTATTGTCAAAATTAAATAGATACTCAAACCTGTAGAGGAAAAATGTCTCAATTAGCTTGAATTACTTTAACTATCTTACCAGATACTTCTAGTTTCAGGAGTTGCAGAACTTCAAAAGCTTAACACAGGGTGAATGACATACCTTCTTAAATAATCAAAATTTTCAATACATATGTATTTGACAGCAAATAATTAAAAATTATACACACTAACCTTAAATTAAAATTTAAGCTAAAATTAAACATAAGCTCAATTAAAATTAAAATTCTGCACACTATATAATCTTTAACATGTTTAACAGATGTTGAAAGTTTTAGTTAAACATTTAGTTAAATATTTTGCACATTGATAACTATTTCTCCCATTTCTCTCTTTTTACTGGCAACAGTTGACTGCCTATCACGCAATAATTTCTGGTTTTTTAAGCTTTATAGGAAGCTAATAGTGCAAGCAGAAACCACTACTATATTCAGTCTTAGATGAAAAATCTAGATTTTTGAACTGAAAGCCAGGAACAGCAGTTCTAAAAACAAAATACAGTCAAGTCTGCTGGCTGTATTTCATGTTAGGGCCAAGCTGACACTCCTTGCTAATGCAGCATCGTATACAACTTAAGTAGAGCTGCCTTACTAGGCTTTTAAAATTTCTAGACAGTTCATAAATCTTACATTACTAAATCTGAAGACTATTATTCTTTTTATTACAAAGCTCTATTCAACATTACTGAGTTTAACTGCCTACTGGCAATCTATAAAAGGCACGATTTATTTGTATTCCATTTTAACATATGTAGATTAACTCTTCAGTACAGATACAGAACTCATAGCTGTACCAAAAGCCAGTAAGAAAGCTTTGTTAACTCACTTGTCATTTGAAATACTGCAATCAATCACTGTTTTCTTGCTGGTGTTCACAATGATGAATGGCAAATGGATGACAGAATTGGAAGGTGGCGGTCGATTTGCCTGCTGTTCTGCCTGACGATTTCGCTGAACGAGGTTCTTGAAGGCAATTTGCTACAAAAAGCAATAGTGATATGGAACTCTGAATTAAAACTTCAAGACTCAGTTAACCTAAAAATCTCTCAGTGAGTACCAGCAGCACGTGAACAGAGAAGTGAACAAAAAAGGTTCACCACGTTCCTGAACTTCAAGATGCAAGAAAAAAAATAAATAAATCATGGTATTTAAAACATGATAAAGATTGACTGAGGGGAAAAAAAGCATTTTCTAATAACTTCATCACTACAGATCCTTGAATAGAACTCAAGACAGGGAGAAAAGACAACGACTGTAAAAAGCAAGTTTCAAACAGCTTCATACTTCCACTTTGTTTAGTATTCCCTACTAGCTATCACATTCCACAACAATATCTGAATTAATAAGACTATATTTTTGCTGAAATTACATGCTTGAAACAGTTAAAGTTTGGGATGTGAATGTGTCTGATATTATGTTTCTGAAACATTCAACTAAGATTGTAATTTCACTCTCGAATTTCCTTGAAATGGAATTTCCATACGAATGGAATGTTTGTATTTTAGTTCTTATGACTGCTAGTCTTCAAGATTATTCTAGTTAACTACAAAAGCTCAAGTTACATTAACATCTTATACTACGCTACCAAACTAGAAATATTGTGTTTCTGGTTGGTCATGGAATAAAATGAAATGAGCAGGAAGTAAAAAAAAAAAAGAAAATACAAAGCCAACAGAGGCTGATAAATACTGGATAGTTGTGCAAATTGCAGATCCACAACTGTCTTTTCTTTCTGCATGTCTTCCCTGAGATTCTCATTCTTACTGCATACACAGCACAACTACTAAGAGATACACTATAGTGAACCAACAGTACAGTGACTTAGGGGATTACTGCTTCCTACAAAATACTGGTGGAATCTGGGAAGGAGTTCAAGTTGCCATTTAGCAACTGCTCAAATACAATTAAGCCACTTACACAGCAGGGTAGCAACGTTCAAGAAAGGCAAGACAAAAATCATTATGAGAGATAACCTGTTACAGTCAAGCTATTTTATCTGAGGACTACTGCAGAAAAACATTCATTGGACAGTTCCAAGGAGTACAATATCAATTATTGGTCCTGTCAGCATAAATTCTGTTTAAACATAAAACTACAGAAAAAAAACCATCATGGCTCATAGAAGGTCGCTGCCTTTGCCAGGAACAACAGTCAACACCATGGTCCCAGTGCTACCTTTATCCTAAAATTCATCTCTAGCCTTCTTAGATGTCTCCCAATCCCCACTGGCACAAAACAACAGGTATACAGATGTAAGTTACCTTGCCCTATAGACAAGAGTACCTTGACTGTACCTGTAGAATGAGTTCTTGTAGTTGTGATTGTTTTTGCTTTATTCTTTCAAGTCTTCTCTGTTTCTCCACCTTAAGACAGTGAACGAACTGATTAGTTTGTAGGTTTTAAACAGTGTTTTGTATCAACATTTTCTCCCCTTAAATTGTTTAAATACCAGAGAAATGAAGGCAACAAGTGTGTCAGTCACTAACATTCTACAGAAGATGCAGGGATCTACAAAGTCTCACATCAGTACTACTGATGGAAACTGTAACAAAGAGAAGAGTTAAGACATCCAGGAATGAAGTAGAATCTGTAAGGAAGAGCATAAAAACATCTTTGTAAGTGGAAGCTATGCCTCAAAGAGTTACCCATATTCTGTTAGGGAGGCAAAAAGCATGTGGACCAGAATGATCTATTTGGTATATCCTGCTGATATTGAAACTATTGGAGAAGAGAAAGATGCTTAAAGAAATGAAGCTGCTTACATTCCCACAGTATTAAGCACTAATTAGATCTGCTGCATTTCCTTCATCTAAATAGCAATAACACTGCTAACTGAAAGAAGGTTAACAATAGCAAAAAAAAAAAAAAAAAAAAACATTTCATAGAATCATCACCCTCTGTAGACAGATTCAAAAATGTTTTTCTCACTTGTCTGCTTCTACACAGCTTTTAAGTTCTACTGAAGAACTTACTAGGAATAAACACAAACACCTCATTCTCTTCTGGTAAAGTACATTGATAAGTACATTGATTTAATTAAATATCTTACATTCACTATCATGCAAATGTGGGACCCTCATGATGCTTATAAACACAATAGAAAAATTCAGCCAAAACTCAGGAATGGCACTCAGTATAAAACATTTAACTTCCAAGGCTTGTAGTAAGAAAATGTTGATGTATTTGCGTAAGAATCAGAAACAAAAGTGACCTACAGCAATAAAGAATAATCATGCACTATTTGCATCTACTGATTGACATTTAACATCTATCGCTGCAGATGCATTATTTGTCTGGCATCTGAAGAAAACAGTATTCCTGACTCTTGATTACCACTAGTGTAATGTTGGAAATACACATTAATCATTCACTTTGATTTACTTCTAATTAGAACCACTTGAATTACTTAAAAAAAAAAATATTCAAGCAATCTGGAAGCTTAGATGCATATTCTGTAAATACAAATTAAAAAGAAAGTCAGAAGGGACCAAATTATTCTACTTTTTATCTCAGAATATCATATGCACATGTAGAATAAAAATGAATTCAAGTCTTTAATCAAACAAATCCACTGTGAATTTCCTATGCATTTACCTCTAAATTCTGACATTCCTGAGCCGAGTTTGTAGGTAGACCAATCCATTTGATTTCCTTCTTCTCCTTAGAGATAATGTTCATGGCCATGAGGACATTTAAGGCATCATAGACACGTCGTCTAATATTCTTCTGGTCGTAAGCCTGCTGTAGACAAAGTGCATTAATCAAAAACATACCTGACACATGACAAAAACATTTGAAAATAAATAAAATAAATACATTACAGCAAATGAGTAAACTTGGCTATTATCTGAGCTGTTTGATTTAGCAATGGGAAAAGAAATCTAAGTCTCTCCATTCAGTTCACATTTAACTAGCCTCCCATATACTCACTGATTCATTTGGTGAAATGTGATCATCAGGGGTAGTGAATTCTGCAACCAACTCGTCTGCCACCTCATTGTATGAGGTGGTTCCTTTTCTTTGTACCTTCTCACAAACCTTCATAGAGAAATGACGTAAACCCGTGCCGCTCTTCTCTCCTTTTCTGTTCCGCTTCCTAAACATATATATAATATATTTTTTAAGATTTGAACTCTGGAATATTTAACATCTCTTTTTCAAACACAGACACAAAAAGCCAAAGTCTTCCCTTTTATTCTACTCCTCTCCCTTTCCCAATGTTTTTTTTTTTTGTTTTTTTTTTTTGTATGATTCCACCCTCTGCCCCTTAAAATTTACAGTAACTGATGATTCTATTATCTTACTGCCCAGACACACCAGAAGAACACAGTCATAGACTCACAGAATGGCCTGGGTTGAAAAGGACCACAATGACCATCTAGTTTCAATCCCCTCTATGTGCAGGGTCACCAACCACCAGGCTAGGCTGTCCAGAGCCTTATTCAGCCTGGCTCTGAATGCATCTAATTATTTTTTTTCCAATAAGGGCTGTATTCTTAACTCAAATGATAATTCAGGATACACTCATTCAATCTGAAGTATACTGTATATTTTTGGACATCCTCCAGCAGAACAGAAATGCGAAACTAAAAACTGAGTCAACTCAGATGAATTCCTATGTCCTTTTAGGAGCTGAATTCTTGAAATACAAGTAATGTGAGAACACCTGTCAGTGCTCATAGAAACATCCCAGTTGCTTTTATGACATCATTCTTGTCTGACTGTATCTGATTTTAGTACCCTACACGTTAACACTGAGGTGCTCCTGATTTGAAGGTAAACAGACTGTGTTTCCCACAGCGCTAGCATGAAGAGCATATACACTATCACAACAAACATTCAGAGAAAAAGTTCCAAGTAACTTATTGATCCTTTGTAACTTTTATTTTGCTCACCCAGCAGACCACGGCGAAGAATCTGCAGTCTGGTTTTGTGATACAAAATGTGTGTTAGGTGTATGTGGACTTCCTACCAGGATAGTATTTGGCACTGAAGGTCTCTGAGGTGTACCGATAACCTACAACAAAGATAAAAATCATTTGGAAAATAACCATAACTATCCCAAGATATTCAGATACTGCATTATTCATGATGCACTATTCAAGACTAAAAATTGCTTTCTTTCTACATACTTGTAACAGATGCTTTCAACTTAGACACACCAGCACAAATGCCTTCAGACCACACATCACATGGTTAAAACACTCCTTAAGCAATAATCATTTATATTTTATCCTTCCAAAATGAGCTCTTCATGCTTACTGGGTTTCTTACAATTGCAAACAGAACAAAAAACCCTGCCAGACTACATCTAAAGATGCTGCTGTAAATTACTGTTAAAATATAAATGTACAGAACAAGAAGATTTGAAAATCAGTAAAAGCAGAGAGAAAACAGTGCAGTTGCAAGGAATTCTCTCCTACAGGCAGCCTCTCTCACTGCAGAGCTAAAAACAAGAGTACGTTAGAAGTGAAGATAAAGAAAGGTGTATCTTTCTCACTCACTGAGAAACTATGGCCATATTATAGCTATAGTTAGGCCATTTCTGAAAGAACATTTTTAAGAAGAGCTGGAATAAGCATCTTCCAGGCATGTTCTAAATGCCTGATCCCACTTATTCGTTTTTTTGCTCTTAGATAACTGGAATTCCTACAGCTACCCAGCTGTGATTCTGTCAACAACCCTTTCACTATGAACAAATCTGGTTCACCAACATCTCAGAATGCCATGAAGACTGCCAGTGTGCCATTCACATAACATAGACAATAGAGAGAACAGAGGAAAGCTAGTAGCCAATCTCTGTTTCTTCGGATGCAGTGACAGAGGACTGGAAGAGACTACTTAACAGCTTGCTTGCAGAAGTTAAGGGTCCCCCTCTATACCCTGGCTTCCCAATTCCACGAACAGTCCCACCACCACCCTGATGCCACATCTAGAATTCCTAAGATTGTGCAGTAAGATGAGACGCCAAGCCAGCACAGAGGAAAGAATGGAATTACAAAGCTCAGAGAAAAACAAATCAGTTGGCAACAGCAAATGCTGGAAATCTACTGTGCTCAGTACTACTGTTAAACATTCAGCAGTACAAAGTAAGTGGATAATCCCACAGGCTAAGTTGGAAAACTGAAGTCTGTTTGGCAAATTCAAAACCTGCTCAGCATTCCATCTCACAGAAGTTTACAAACTAGCCAGAATAATACGCTTTTATGCTACACGTTTTGAAAGCCCACGCTTTCATACAGGGTATGGCTCAGATCTAAGTTTATGTATTATGCAAATAATATATGTGAGGGATAGAGAAACTTAGAAATATTCTAAGTATCCTTAAGAAGTCTAACATTCCTCTCAAATATTGAGAAGTCTTCACATAAAGAACAATCATATGTTAAGACTATTCCATTTCTCTGTAGAACACAGAGGAGTAGATAAATCCTACAAGCAAAAATGAAATTCTTCAATGTGGGGTTACTTGCTTTTCTTTTTAAATAACTGTTTGAAATCTAATTACTCTCACAATGACCACCAGGAAAGAAAGATCAGCAATTTTCTTTTTTTTTTTTTTTGCTGAAAGTTGCATCTCTACCAGTTTTTAAACACCACTTCCACAGAAGCTTAGAATCTGTACTTTTGGTTCCAAGGTCCTCTCTCATTACACTGTTTCCAAACATCCAAGATTTTCTTTTCAGTATTTCAAGGACATGAAATGCAGAAATACGCTAGAATTCCGGAAATAACTTGTAAGCCTCTACTGGTAACCAAGTGAAGAATCTTGAACAAAGAGGATGTCGATATCAAGTGTCTTATTCAAAGCTAAACAAGTATGGACTGACAATTAAGGAAGATAAGGAAGACCCCACAGCCTAGAGTTTCAGATTTGTCTAAGAATTATTTGGTATTCTTATTGTCTCCTTAAAAGAAATGCTGATAACCCTAAGTCATCCACAAGGTCACAGATGATTATAACTTTGCATTAAAATAACACTAAGAGTTCAGTAGAATGAAGTCACTGGGACACTGGGAACATCCTGAAATGAAAGCTTACAAATGGAATCACAGAGGATAATAGAACAAATAGAGTTGGAATTTTAGGGAAAACAGAGAGGGAAGAGGCAAAGAATGAAGTCAAAGTAGAAATCCACTGTATCTCTACATTTTTAAAATGTTTTTAGATTTATGAAGAACAAGATTAAAATTCAGTTCCTTAAGAATAAAGAAGATAAAAAAAAATGGAAAAGAACAGCATGACAGCATTCACAATCCACTTCATCGTACTACAGCTCTGTCACCATTAAATTTTTTCTCCTGAGAATAAATAATACCAACTGAACAAGAATACAAGCTCAGAAAATTAAATATTTAAGTATTAAAAACGTGATTTTACCAGTCAGAGGTTACAAAGTTGAGCAAGGTCACAAGCAAACTCTATTCTGTTTCCCAAGAACATTTTGCTTATTGGCAAAAAAAATATATTATCTCCTCAGTTTGCAGGTTTCTAGCTTTTTCTTGCTATCATTCTGAATTATAAGGCCAGCATAATTTTATCCAAAAATTTTCTCTCGATACACACTTGAGATTGAACAAGAACTCCATCTCTTCTCTGCTAAGCATCTCATTTTGTACTGATAAGAGTCAATACAAATATGCTGATATGGGCCACCTTTTTTCTTACTTAAAATGTTTAGAATAACACTTAAAATGCTGACAAATTCTTCATTGCAAGCATGAATTTCACACAATGATCATACTAAGAAAGACACCATTAAGAAAAGCAATTTCATGTTCTCCTGCAAGACTGAAAGTACACGAGCATTTGTCAATTTAAACGCGATGAAGACAACAATTTACAGATGTATAATTTGTGTACATACACACACAGGGCTGTTTATTTACTCAACCTTCAAAATTTAAAAAGGCATCAGATAGCCTGTCATTTCATTATCAAACCCTGGTTTTGATAACTTAAGGAAAAGTCTTCCGTGTTACCAAAAAGAATGTTCCATTTTCAACATCAAACTGACGTATGTATGTATGTATGTATGATGTATGTATACAGCCTCACAGTAATGCCCAGAAGACAAACTACGTGCCACTGTGATATACAGAAAAAAAACATTCTCTTCCCACTGCTAGTTACTGCATTTAAATTAAAAGAACACCTAACAACTCTGTACTTGGATATTTATTGATAAAATATCTCTTACTGAAGAGGTAAATTCAGCTAAACTCATTTTAATAAACTCTACCTTTCAAGCAATTGCTGGAGGTAGTGAATTCACCACTGCTACTGGAAATGCATACAATGAATAATCTGCAGTTTCACTGACACTTTGTTAATCAACAACCTTTAGTCTATCTCATATGGGACTCTTCAAACCATGTGAACCTCAAGACTTGAATGTAGATATTGCAGTTCAATTCAGAACACAGGAGAGTGTAGAGGTTTGTGGGTTTCTCATTGCTTTGCCTTTTTTTGTTGGCTTGTTGGTTTTGCTCTTCTCCTTCGCTGTGCTCTTCAAACTGACAGTTACACCAGAGCAGCTCTCTGAACATGGTAACAATTTCAAAGTACAGCTAATAAGCAGTTATAAAGATAATGAAGAGGGACTAGACTTTCCACAACAGCTGTACAGTTGAAGTGGTACAGTTTATAGATTTAGGCAGTCTTGCTCCTTAGAGTTTAAGAGTTGGGAAAGGGGGATCGTAAACTGTTTTTGTATCAAGAAACTCAAATGTAAGACAAATTAACTTTCAGATCTTTATACAATTCAGCTGCTTTCCATAAGTCCATGAGTTGCGACCTACTCTCTTCAGAGCACCACATTTTAATTCTGATCACTACAGAAGTGGCTTCTTATAACCTGTGTATTATCAACTTCGCTATTAGATTCCTTGAATCCTAATTTCACACACCTCACACAAAACAACAGTAAAAGTTAAAGCAAAAAGATACCTCAATTTAGAATAAAAAAACCCCACAGTACTGCTTTCAATTTTGTTCCACTTGACTTCAATCTCAGTAAAAACGTGCTAGAAGAATTCATTTACATGTCTCTATGACAGATTTCAAACAAACATGTGAAAAAGCCACTGATTAGAAGTGGCAACACCAACAAAAAAGAAGGCAATCTGAATATTCAGGTAACTGCCTGTTGATTTGACTGTCATTTTCTCATTTCCTTCTGCAAAAGCACATTTGTTCTTATTTAGGGAGTCTATTAAAACTAGAAACATTTAGACAATCTGCACATGACAAGTGATACTGAATATCAGCAATTAAGATTTACAGCACGTAAGTTAAAAAAAAAACAACGCATCTCCTTACCACTTGTTGTGCAATGTTGACATTAGACCGTCCAAATGTTTTTGGCAGGAGCTGTTTTCCGAGTGTATTTACTGTAGAGGGATGAACAGCCAATAGAGAAACAACTCCTAAAAACAAATAGAAGTAGAAATCTTCATGTCAGCCACATTGTATTATTTTCGCAATTCCAGTTTCATAAGTATTATCAAAGCCTACTAACAGAAACTAGTTCTGAGCTCCACAGAGAGCCAACATGAATGCAGCATTCACGCTCTTGAAGCAGAAAGAAATTAAGATTCCTAATATATTTTTCTCACCTTCCTTCTGAGTAATCATCTCAGTGATCCAGTATGAGCATGATTTAATTCCTTATGGTCCACTTATTCTGCCAAAGCACAGTAGTAGAGCTATAACAGGTTTATGATAGAAGGCATATTCCCCTCCTCTTCAACCCCCTTTTCCTTAGTGGCCACCAAAGTCTTTTCCCTAACCACTTAAAAACCATGCCCAATTCCCCAGCATCTGACATAGCCTTCTGAGGCATGCTGGGGCAATGCTCTCTACAAGAGATTACATTTGGTTAGCATGGACTTTCCAACAGAGTATTTCCAACCTTCTTCTTTCTCCTAGGTGACCCCTTCCAGCTGGAGAGGATTAAAGAACAGAAGTCTACAAGAAGCCAGGATTTGAGCAAAACACATGTGAACAATGCAGACCAAGCCTGAAGGGAAAACTGTTATTCTCCTGTTCATAAGCTATCCACAGTCACCACTGATGGTTAAGTTTTAACTATATAAGACAAAAATACAACATTGGGTATCCTTAGAAATTTGATGTTCCAAGACAGTCATGTCCCTGTCTCCATTCCCCCCAGAATCGTGGGGCAAACAAGGTGAGAGGTTTGACAGTTCTTTCCCTCAAATCTCTTAAAGGGGCCAATGGAGTTAGAAGAGCAGCTTCCTTTTCTCTTCCTTTCTTTTTCCCATTATCAAATACAAAGACAGTAATTAAATATTTCTACCACAGTTGTGTTGAAAAAATCCCTGATCAGTCCATGATACTCTCCATCATCTCTCTAATGAATGCATGTAGTCAACTGAAAGTTGGAAAAAACTCAAATCTGAAAGCCTTCCCTTCCCAAAGGCTTGTTCTTCTTAGCTGCCATTACTACAGCATGACAAACTGACAGCTTTGCACCAGAATCTACTGTCAGTCCCACAGAACTGCTTGGGATGCTGTATTCAAGGCAAGTCCAACCCACAGCTCACATGGCAGCCGTCCCCTGCCCTGAACCATCATGGTGGTGGTTCTGCCCATGGAGCAGCCCCCGACCTAGGGCAGCTGGCCCAGCACAGCATCACTCAGCACCAACTGAATAGTGGAGCACTATTAACCCCCTCCAGGATGAAAGTAGGGCACAGGATGCAGTGCAGTGCCAGCTCAAAAGACGGCAATGAAGTTTATGGATTTTGATACAGTGGCTGAACATGGTCCTGTGAATAGGAAAAAATATGCAGCCATGCTTTCTGCTGTGATAAATGAATTTGAGAAAAGATTTCAAGATTGCCAAGAAGATCATACATTTTTTTAGCTCCATTTTCAGTTGATGTAAATCAACTGAATCTAAATCAACTAAATCAAATTCACAGGTGTGAGTTTTCAAATGGAACATATGGAATTGCAATCCATAATCTGATCACGTCTGTCTACTGGACTTTTATAAGCTCTCTCTTAGCAGAGAGAAATATCCCTCGCTTCACAGTCACACCTTATTCATGTCACCGCTTCTGGCAGTATGCATATTTGTGAACAACTGTTCTCTAGGATGAAGCACAAGAGTAAGATTTCATCAGCAATCTCTGAAAAACACCTGGAGATCTCACTGAGAACTGCAGCCACTGCCATCAAACCTGACTGATGTGTCATTATCACAAAAACAGGGTCACGTATCCCACCAGCACTACTCTTTTGTTACTCTCTTTCGTATGTTTTAAATAAATAAATAAATAAGTTTTGTTACTTATATACATTAACTATGTTATGTATTTTATGAGGGCTGCTCCAAAAGTAATGCTTCCCAAGTTATGATGTTGGCCCACAACGTCAGAGGCAGATGATGGTGGTATGGCAGCAGAGGCTGAACCTTTGACCAATACTGTTCTTCACAGAGAGTGGTGATGTGCTGGAACAGGCTGCCCAGAGTGTTTGTGGATGCCCTGTCCCTAGAGGTGCTCAAGCCAGACTGGATGGGACCCTGGGCAGCCTGGTCTAGTATTAAATGGCGAGGTTGGTGGCCCTGCATGTGGCAGAGGGGTTGGAGATTCAATGCTCCTTGAGGTCCCTTCCAACCCTGGCCATTCTGTGATTCTGTGTGATTCTGTAATATCCTGTTACATGCTGTTGCTGTGTGACGGACGGCAGCAGAGAGGCAGCTTAACATAATGGTGGATGAAGCAAAAGTAAATCACTGAATTCCTCCCTGTGGAAAAAATGGCATGCACTGACATTCATCAACAGTTGCTGGCCACTGAGATGGAGATCAAACAGTGGATGTGAGCATAGGGAGGTGCTGAGTGGTGTGTTTCAGCAGTGGAGACAGCAGGTTGTTACAGGATTGTTACAAGCAGGGCATGCAGGCTCTTGTTCATTGCAAGTGAAAATGCATAGGTAATAGCTGTGACTATGTTGAAAAAGTTTTTTGTAGCTGAGAATTCAATCCACTAAACAGTGTTACTGTGCTCTCTGTACCTCTGGAAATTTCCATGGAAATAATTAGGAGGCCTTACTTTCAGAACAACCTCCATAGATGCAGCCCCAGGCAATTTCTCTTCACTCAGTGCAGCCCAGACAAGCTGAATGGTTGGACACCCAGGCCGTAGCCTGTCACTCTCACGTATTAACTAACTTTTAAATGCTCTTTTACAGAGTCAGCAGCTATCTAGCTTGTAACAGTCTGTTACGCCTTCCTATTCCTTCAGTGTTCGAGTTCAGCTACCACTATCTGCCTTTTTTTTGCCTTCCTCCTTGCAGAATGCTTGAAAATGATATAAACTACTCCAACTACAAGTGCCTGCCTAGCTGCTGCTCAGCTTCCTGCCAACATGCTTTTTTTTAAAACCTCCTAATTGCTTGAAAAACCAGAAAGCTAACTGGAGGTTCCATTTCCAGTATAAAAGTTGTAACATCTTTCTCAAGTCAAGAATCTTTGTCATCTGATCTCTAACTGTACAGAGCCCTCTCCTTACCTCTGACAATTCTTGCTGCATGTACACCTTTGAGCTCTCCTGCTGTTTGAGACTTGTTTTTGCAGGGGACAGGGACACGTTACCCATGAAGAAACGATACATGTTATTGTACAACTCTGCACAACATTTTCTATTTTATTCTCTGTTGATTTCTAAGTAATTCTTAAAATTTAATTTGCTTGTTCCCCAACAGACACTAATTTCATGTTTCCATAATGTAACTTACAAGGACTTTAATAACTTTTCTGAGTGGTAATAGCTCACCTGGGGTCCTCATTATATCTGGTTTGGTTTTCATCAATTATTAACCCATAGGAGGACTGTCCCATTCTCTGACACCTTAGGTTCTTTAACAGGCTGATTAAAGCCCTTGATAACTCTTTTTTTTTTTTGACCACTGCTTTCAACAAATCCAAGGGCATCACACTGATTAGATAACCCTTATCCACATGCTTGTTGATTCTTTCAAAGCATGACTTTGAGCAAAGATACAACTCTCTAATTTCCCTTTTTCCTGCCTTGTGGAAAAGCATTAGCTCCTGCTCATTATCACATTTATCTGTGTGTTTACTATTTACTTTAACATGTTATAATTATACTGAGTGAAGAAAACAGAAGTACCTTCACTAAGTACTTTCAGAATTCACAGGTAAATATTTTTTGGTCAAACCGCTAACATGGTTAGAGTACTGAAAAGCATGACGTGTAAGGAGAAGCTGAGGGAGCTTGATGCATTCAGTCTGGAGATGATTAAGGCAGGAGAAGATGCGTGTTTGTATGATCTAATTGTTGCCTTTGAATATCAAATGGGGAGTTACAGAGATGCACAGCAGAAGAGAGGCGGCTGTCCCCAGAAGCTGCACAGAAAATTCCAACTAGATGCCAGGGAAAAAACATTCACAGTGAAAATGGCAAGCACAGGAACAGGTTGCCTAGGAAGTTCCCTGCAGTTATATAAAAATTTCACTTACTCAAGGCCCCATTCTTTGAAGTTGCCCCTGCTTTGATCATTAGGCTAGATTAGATGGCCTCCAGCTTTCTTATATTATTCATAAAATTCTACGAATACAGTTATCTTGCAACTACAACATCAGCATGAAGGGAAGAATGTACACTAGGCTTCTTTAAGGTTTTTAAGGACATTAACGTTTTTGTGGCACTGTGCTGTGGAACCAGCCTGGTCCTATCCAGGAACTGCAAAGTACATTTGCCTGTATGTACAAACTGATAGGCAAGGACATACAAACACAACTGGAAGAACAGTAACACATGCTTCAGTTCTAAGCAAAGTCAAAGTCAACCCATGAAAAGTAACACATTTAACATTAAAGCATAATTACTCAACTTTTTTTAAAAGCATTTTTAAAAAAAGGATATTTTCAATTTGTGTCTGCTGAGTGTATTCTACTACTTTCTTATTTATTCGATGTGCACTTTTCTAAAAATCCAACTGCAGTTTTCTCCAAAGGCTCACAATACTCTGGTTTCTGGGTGGAGTGGGGAAAGTTGTTTAAATATATAAAGCAGAAATATTTTTATTAACTTAGCTTTGAAGGTGACTGACAGCTCAGTTTCTCAAAGGAATTTTACTAATCATTTGTTAATAACTGTTACATCAATTAGTGTAATCCAAATAATCTTGTGTTTTATGGCCAAGAGACAGCATCCATAGCAGCATGTTAGCCAACAGTTTGCCTGGCACCAATTCTTTTTACTTTTCAAAACATTTTATTAATACAGCTAGGTCCTCATTTTCTTTTATTTCTAAAGAGACAAAGACTTCAAAAAGCACAGTAAAAGGCCAGCTAAAGCATAAAGGAAGTTATATTGGGAGACAAAACTTTACTACCTAAACTCTCAGATTCTCAAATATTGTCAGTATG